TGCCAGGCAGAGGATGAAAGGTGAGGACAGAGCAGTGCTGTGAAACTGGGACTGGGGCAAGTCTCTGGAAAACTTCCACTGGGGTGGAAACCGGGGGTCTGATTTGACATCGTGCCCTCACCACACCTGCACAAAGTGAGTGGAAAACACTAGAGAAATAAAACATTTTTCCACTATTTTGCACAAGTAAAAAGTTAGATAACAGAATACCTAACCGAAAAATGAGCCCAGGTATGAGTGCTTAAAACCCTGGGAACTGAAGAGGTTTTAGCTGGCATGGAGGGCTTTCTGCCGGGGAGAAGGAACAGTTGCCTGGCTAACAGTAAGCAGAGGTGGAGAAACCAGATTTGAAGGGAAAGCTTCAGGTGTCTAAAAGTAGGCAGGTAGTGCTTTCTAGATGTCTTAAGATATCCGAGCTGTCTGCAACAGAAGGGGCGATACAGAAAATATAGACAATCCATCTACCACTCTGGAGCAGCAGCTGGAGGCTGGAGTAACCTCAGCACATCTGGAATGGCACCAGATATCACGCATCCAGGCAGCAGAGTCCTTGGTGTTTCTCCCTAAACCGAGGACTTCACCTCTTCTTCCAACCTAAACATCAGAGATGAGCTCCCTTGGCTGGTTACTGGCATTCACAGACTGAGAATTAGCTGAGGATAAAAGATCAGCTGGTGAGTTCAACTTACTGGAGTACTATGACAAAGCCCCGCTTAACCATGGACATGGGAATCAGTCACAGAGAGAATAGATTTGTGGCTGTTGGCAGGGCGCTCTCGAGAGTCGGGGAAGTTGAGGACCAGCAGTAAGAAGTGGGAATGGGAAGGAAGGAAGCTCTGTGGGGTGAGCAGGGAAGGGACGGAAGAGAGAACTGCTGTGGAGAGCACATCGACTGCTACTTCAGCAGACCCATATCTGGGCATTAGCATCCATTTCGCTTACAGCCTCGTAAGCCGGTACAATGTATTTCCGCATCTCAGACATGGAGTTCCTCAGGGGAAAATTCAGAATCTGATTACCGTGCAAATCCAGCTGGGATGCAGCTCTCTCACTTATTTCCCCCATCCCCCAATCCTTCCTTTCTCTGCCTAGAAATTATTTGGGTGTGCAGCCATACTTTTCCATACTGCCTTCCACGTGTGTATCTACCTCCCAGAAACATTATTGGACTTGTGCAGATGGGTATACTCCCTTACGTCTCTTTAATAGTTATAAGTCCACACTCTGAACTTGCCTATCACATACTGGATCAAGTAGACAAGCAATGCTCAGATCACGATTATGATCTGTCAGTTCTCGTTTGACGATTATTTTACGGTTCAGTAGTTCCGTTGACTCACACTCTCGAAATTATCACCATTTTCACAGGATTGTTTGCATGAGATTTGATTGTGATGGTTTTATTTATTTATCTATTTATTTTTAAAAGGCTAATTCTTCACAACAACTCAAAAGATAAATTCAGGCTCAAGATAAAAAAAATAATCTGCTGGGTTCTGATTTTGCATCCTTTATGGCTTTGACAGTGTTTCTTTTTAAGCAGAACATAAAGATATTCCCTTAAAGCCTATCTCCTCCAGAGTGAATTGCTCATTATAAGGCCCGAATTAGTCTTTTTCACAAAGGTCACCATTCAAAAAAGATCACGCTCATCCACATTTCTGCATTTGGCTTCCCATAGTCAACATCACAGTACGTTAAGCTCCACATTCTGACAATTGCTGCTAAATGTTCAGTTTCTCTATCACAACCACTGTGGGAGCCTTTTTATAATAGAGGAAATGTAAATACCACGCAAAAAGATCAAAAGGTGACTCAGCAACTTATCTAAATCACAGTAGCCCCAGATAAAGTCTGCCCTGTTGCCATAAATAGATTACCACAAGTAATGTATAGTAAGAGTTCATTGTGGAAGGAATCTCACATCCTACTGAAAGTTCAGTATATACCAGGCTCACCACAGATTTTTTCAATGGTTAAAAGCTTTGCATATACAGCTACGAGTACAAGGAAGCCATTGTAAGGTATTCAGATGAACAAGAGAAAATACAGGTACTTCAACTGCTTTGCTGTCGCCTGACTCCTCTACCATGTTTCAAATTTTGCTACCTCTGCATATATGATTTTAACTCCAACACATGTAATGCAAACAGATTTAATCCTAAAGGCATTTGCAGCTTGAATTTCCCACCTAGGGATCGTAAATCTAGAACGGGAAGCCTGAAATCATTAAAGTCACATATTTATAAAATCATATTCAATTAGGTTAAAAAGTGCAATTTCTGTCATCATGTCATAAAAAGATGTGTTTTTCTCTCAGATCTACTATAAAGAAAAGCTCCCTATATTGTTACAGATAGAGGCTGTTTTCAATCAGTTACAAGGAGCAATCCAATTACTGGATGGTTTAGTGCAGTAACTGACTCCAGACTAATTTAATTTCTTTAGGTCCCTAAAGATCAATTGATCTGATTTGTTTCCCTCCCCAAAGGCTGTTTAGGAAAAAGCGATCTTAAATACCTGGAAATGAAATACAAAGCTCTGTACACTTTCACACTACTTAGGTCATTCGGAAAAGCTGGAACTCGCGATAAACGAGTGCTCCCTTGGCCCGGACATCGCGGGATGCTTCACAGCGGGCTGTTAGGATCGCCGCTCAGCACTGCAGACTATGCGCGTGCGCGCTGTACGTGGGGCTGCTTAGCGAGCGCTGCGTGGAAGGTATTTTCGCAGCTGCTAGATAAATATTCAGTTTTCAGGAGCTATGCAAACGTGCATTTGGCCTGCATGGTCTTTTCCCTGGCAAATAAATATTTTTCTCACACAGTGATTTTATAGAAATAACGAAGTTTCCAGCTACACCGAGCAAGAGTCACGCTGCACCGTTCAATCTGTCACTTAAGTCTTGTGATGCATGTCGCAGCGGCCATCAAGCAGGAAACTCTTCCTGTCGTCATGTCTCAGTTTGCTATTGCTTTTGCTTTATGTCAGATTTATTTAAGCAATTTTACTGGCACTAAGCTGAGATCTGTAGAACCAGTGGGCACTTAAAGGACGACATTCTCATCTGCCCAAATATTTTAATGCTGAAACTGAATAAAACCCTTGGTATGTCTGCACCATATCAGATAACTTAGGAAATTAAGTCTCTTATATCTCTTACTGGCCCTCTTGTGCGTTACACTTTCCCTGTCTCATTACCTGAAGTGTTGTGCAACAGGTTTTGTTTTTTCAACTACCATTGTTCCCTAATCAGGGCTAAGCTTTCGCATTTAAGTCATAATAAGACCTTACCCAAACTTGGACTCTCAAATCAAGAGTTCTAATGTCTTTTCAATACTTTTCACATTTTGTTTCTTGTATTTACTGTAGGTTTCACATTTGGATGCCTTATCTCTCATGGCGTTTGTGCCGGGGCTGGGCTGCCTGTCTCAGGCTCTATTCTTACACTTATCAATAAACAAAAGGGCACGCTGTGGTTTATGCTCAGCATTTCTGACTCCATGCCATGTGCTGTTATAATAAGATGTCCTCTGGAAAAATTCCCTTCATATCCTGCACCACGATAGTTGGTTCGTCTGCACAGAGGTAACTAAGTTTTTCTCCCAGCTTATCTACTCGAACTCTCTCAGCCCTTGCAAAGCTGTGTCATTAGATATCGCCTGTCTGTAAAACAAGGAAACTGAAATGTGAAAAATCAAAGTCTCTTCTCTTCCTACTGGTACTTTCTTGACTATTTATTGCATACAAACCTGAGCTTTAGATGTGGTTTACCTTAGTACTCTGTCAATACAGAAGGCTATGCTATTTCAATTAAATCTGCTTGGGTTTTTTTCCAATTTTCAATTAAGACTTCCACTTAGGAAGCAATTTTTAACAACTTTGCACGTGTGCACTGCAGTCTATGTGCTTGCTTTCCCAAATTACTGTTCTTTCACCCAATTACTCAATTGACTACTAATGATCCATTCACTAGTAAGCTATAAAATATACCACTATTTCCCAGCCATGGACCTGCTTAGATTGATGTACTTTTGAAACACTGTAAAGACTTTCTCTAGTATGGATATGACTTCACTGAGCAGTTTTTCCCCTATATGCACGCATGAAAGATGATTCACGGATACATCTGGATATCCCCACATAGGAGCCTAGAGGGTTTTGGCCTCTCCAAACTCTGTTTCATGATTGTGTGCTCATAGGAAAATTCGGATGTGCTATATCCGTCTCCGTCGAGTTCTCTTCCCGCCTAAAGGACGCAGACAGCTTAATTTGCTTCATTTGCCAAACTGTTTGACACGGTATCATAAAAACGTGATGCACTGGAGAGCTACCAACAGATTGAAGTTTATTTTCTACTCAACTGTGGGTTAATGCTTCTGTCCCTATGGCAGCAGTTGCTTATAATGAGCTGTACACACACAAAACCCAACAGTTTCCAGATAAAGCTTTCCCCTGATGCAATACAATTTTGGTGAAACAAAAATGGCATCTTTGTCATCAGAGTGGGAGTTACGGGATTCATCCTGATGGCAATAATTGCTGACTTCAGTGTCTGGGACTGCTGAAGTGTATTTTGGGAAGCTCCCCTCTCTCTTTTCCACTGTGTGGAGCAGTGGGGAGCTATAAAGATGTTTTTCACAGGACCACTGCCCTGGTTTCCCAGTGACCCAATTCACAGCCTTCAGTAGGATTAAATGGCATGATAAGAAAAAAGCTTTTCATTCTGAAGTTGTAAAACTGACCCTCTCCCCTCATCAGGAAGCCCCCTCAGGAAGATGAATATATTGGCCCCAACTGGAACAGATGTCAGAACTCAAAACAGCTCTTTCTTCATAAAGTTTATAAGTATTTTTAAAGGAGTTGGAGGAGGCTTACTATATGCAACAAGATAACATTAAAATGCACAGCTTCTCAGGAGTTGAAAGGATGCTTTTCCTACAAACTCTCTCTTCGCTTTATCTTATCTGCATGGAAAGTAAACAGAAAGTCCCCATTACCTCTCAATATCAGTGAGTCTGGAAGAGTCCCGGAATCCTTTAGCAAAAGGGTTGCTGTCAATTTTCAACTTGGTTATCTGGAAACACAGAAAAGAGCAATGCAACATGAATATAGTGTTAAGGTATTGCAGCGTACAAAGTGTTAACCAATCCATCCTCCTGACTTCCCTGCTAATTTTATCCACGTTCCTTGTGAGCGCGCGCGCACGCTACTCTTGAGGTGCAGCAAAGCTGGGAAGGCAAATCGGGTTGTATTACACGTATGGCAATGGAAAGACCACAGGGCACGGTGCGCTCAGCCTTCATGTCACCAGAGCAGGAGGAACGCACCGACATCTGCTTCCAAATACTTTAACAGCATAAATTAGGTTGTCTTTTCCACAAGCAATGCACAGCACCCTGCTAACGTCTGAGCCTCGTGGGTGGAGCTGCACAGTGGCTAGTATGAGCCCAAACTAGGAGCTACTGCCTGCAAACCTGGGTGCTTCAGTTCAGCTCCACTTTTATGTTTTTTTTATTTTTTTACTGTGATGTAAATGTTCTCAGCCAAACCTACCAGCCCTCACAGAGGAGGAGTTTGGCAGTTTAACTGTTTTTGCATGGAAAGAGGCTGAGGAAGAGACGGAGGGAGGAAAATGTGAGGAGAACTCAAATTAAAAGTGACAAAGCCTGGGTTAAAGGAGTAACCTCATTAAAACCATCACAGTCCTGGAAAAACAGAGGTCTTGCAATGAAAACTCTCCTCCCTTCTTCAAATGCAGCTACAAACCTGCCCAGTGCATCCTGTCAGCCTTTCCATTCAGCCAGAGTAACCCACTCATCAGGACTCCCTCTTCCCCAAAGCATCAAGGCTCCCCTTAACTTCGCAGTGAAACGTTTCAGGCGCAGGTGCTGGCTTCCACCGTGTTTTTTGGGGAGCAAGGAAAAAATACTCCATTGCCCTTGTGAAATTTTCTAGCTGTCCAACCCAATGAGATTTGATGAATAAAACCTGATACATCATCGTAGTATTTAGATTTTCCAGCCATACTTCTTCCAAGATTTAAAAATAAAACTGTAAGTGGGAGTTGGAGCTGGACGAGGGACAGCACGGGACCTGTCCTGAAAGGCGGTGAATGCCACCAACTCTAGCTGAAACCCGTGAAAACCAACAGCTTTCAGCGTTTTATACAAAAAAAAAAAAAAAAAAAAAAGCCTCTCTCACAGAGCTCACAACCTCATTTTTAATAGCTGACCCTCAAGACTTGGAAAGAAAAGGGATCTTTTCCAAATCCTCAAACAATCGAATTCTCTCATCAAACAAAGGTACTTCAAAATGGGCTGGCTTCTCCTCCAAAAGGTAAAAATGAAAAAAAAAAAAGGACAATTGAACCCAACTTTTCGTTCTGAGGAAGAGGTCTTCTGGGAGGGAAACGCAGAGAGGGAGGGACAGGCTTGCAGAGGCACAACCTGAGTATTTAATTACTGGTCTGCTGTATGTGGATGATGTGCTGAGCGGCTGCCACCGACCTGCTCAGAAGCCCTGGGAAAATTGCTGCACCCCTGGGCTGCTCCTTCCCTGCCCGGCATGTCGGGTCCCTCCAGGGGCAAGATCTCTGGGGAAGGTTCTCGCTTTGAGGCACCACAGCTCCCTGGTTGTTCCCATGGGCTGGTCAAGCAGCATGGGACCCCAGCGCTGGCTGAGGGTTTGAGGCTGTCTCATCGTACAGCTACAAATGATGGAAGCTTCCCTGAAGACTAGCCTTGCTGCAGGACCTTGTCTCATCCCGCTCCCCAGATACCCGTAAGCCCCTGACTCGTGGTGATGTTGCAAAGAGCGGCGGGTTAGGGCCTCACGTACAGCAAACATTTTTTTGGCTGCATTTTGAAAACTACCTTGAACAAAGACAAGCTCTAACTAGTTCCACTGACTTAGATCACCAACACACTGAGCCAACTGCACCGCAAAATAATAAGGACGTCTGTTCATCTCTTGAGCGTATTTTCACCAATCAAACTTCCATTTTCCTAATATTAAATATTTGGTATGACATCACAAGAGAAACTTTTTGTATCCATCGAAGCCAGATGAGACTCACAAGCATTTATGGCTATATTTTTCCTGAGAGACTGTCTCGCAAACAATCAGAGAACATCTGCTAGAAAGCATTTTAAAATGAAATCTGACCTACAATTCAACTCTGTGGCAGTGGTTTGACTGTTTAAATAAATGCATGCCCTTTAAATCTTAAATTATGAGATAGTTTGTTGAAAGTGTAATGTATTTAGCTTTTATCTAATAACCTCCAGAAATGTAATCAACCCCTCCTTAAAACAGTTCTGAAAGAAATGGCAAAAATGAAAAAAGGCTCCATTTTCATTAGTCATAAATAAAATGACAGCATCAACCTCTAGGGGTTCCGGAGATGTTCCATTGAGAAATTTTCCAGGACTCAATGTATGTGCTTTGGGAAGGTTAGTTTAGAAACGTCTCTGGTGTAAACAGCGTCAGTAAACACAAATCCATCCTATAGAAAGAAATTCCCGGTTTGGCTGTTTTTGTGCCTGTTACTATTTTGCTGGTTTCTACAGAAAGTTATGTGGAAAAATCTAACCGCCTATCCAAACTTTATATTCTTGAGATTGCCAGGTGCTGAATGGATTTTCTGCAGCATTCAGATACAAACCCTAGTTTACAATCAATGCAATCTGATATTAAAGCCTTAAAGTGGGATATGGGTCTGTCATAAGGACTGACTTAATGCTGCTACCGTTATCTTCAGAGCTTTTTTGGGCCCCTATGCAGTAGTTTCATTTTATTCATAGCATTTAGAAAGTAATTACTTTTGCTTCGTATTAAGAAACACAGACTTCTTTAAGTAATCCAGCAGGTACACTGACTCTGTGATGCTGCCTGCTCGCATGTTTGGACAGTACTTAGATTTTTCTTAACTTGAGGGAGTTGGAGAGGGAAAGAGGTGTTTTTTCTGAAGTGGCATAGTCATTAAGGCCTTAAAGCACACTCTGAATGGCACTGAAGCCAACAACATATTTCTACTGACTTAAAATATTAAAGCCCTATCCACTGTCAAGCAGAGCCTCTGCTCTCCGATTGTTTATATACTTCCTAAAATTACTCATTAGCAATCCATTGTTATGATCTCCTCCATTTTGTATATATTATTCACTGGCATGCAAATTGAAATTCAGACATCTGGATGTAATCTGGGCAGCCTCTGAAAAGCATATCTCAGAGTGATTTCCCTTACATTTGAGCCTTACAGCTTAATTAGTCAATTTTTTAAGCCCATGAAATCATCATGTGCAAACCAGAATATCTCTCAGCTAATAGCTGATGGCATGAAAGATCACTGCAAATAAAAACAGTTCCTTAATGAGCTAGAATTAGAACAGGACTAAATGATAATATGAAAACAGCTTTGTATAGAGAGAAGGGAAGACAAATGAAAGCCTCTTTCATGACAGCTTTACTCTCATGAATAATCCTTACGGCCCTTTGAAGTTAGTAGTACTACCCGTATCCGTAGGAATTATTCCTGAATATGAATTAGGTTGGGCAAGGTCGCTACTGACGTTGGCATGGAAAGGTAGGTTATATCAGAAAGTTTCCTAGTTTAGATTGGAGGAAAGGGAGTTTTCAGCAGGGTGGGATTTAGTTAAATCCGTGGAAATTAGCAGCCGTACTCACCAATTGATTCTGGTAGGCGGTAACAGCTGTAAAAACTGTCTCTGGAAAGATAAATGTCCTGAACTCTTCTGATTTCAGATTTAGCAAAGAAGCCGTATGATCCTTCTTCTTAATAATGTGGACCCTTGGCTGGTACTTGTGCATGGAGTTCAGAATGATCTGCAAGAAAGAGTGAGAAGGCACTGTCCTGAGAGGAAGGTTAACAGGACCCTCGAAGGCTACAAAACCGCAGGGGAGAAAAAAAGAACCAATTAACACTGCAGGGGAGACATCTGAAATCTAAATAGATGGCAGTGGATGTTCAGAGCAAAGTCTCCAGCTCCTTTGGGCAGTTCCAGAAAATGAAGCCAGAAAAGCAGGCATCCCAGGAGCTGGTTTCCTCTCACTCCTACGCTGCTGGGGTTTTATTGAAGCATAAATACCTGTTCCTACAGGTGAGATGTTTTACATACAGAATTTGTTATTGCTAGCGTGTGCCCCAGTTTGCAGGTGTCAGCTGCAAATGTAAATATATGACTCTTGAAAGCTCATGACTGAGCATCCACACTTGCAAAAATGTGCAGGTGCAGAATGAAAACAGCAGGAACCCCTCAAAAAAAAAACCAAAAAACAGAAAAAAATGAAACCTAACCAAAAAACCACCACCAGCACAAACCAGCTGACCAAAAACAAAACTTCCCAGATCCTTTCACTGTGACAAACCTTGAAAGCAAACTGCTTCGTAGATGCTCTTCACCGCAGACCGCCAAAAATGAGAGCGAGGGGGGGAAGCCAGTGCAGAACCCCAAAATGACCAGGCTTTGCCATTTTATCCTCATCAACAATTGTTTACAAGCTCCTAAAATAATTCTAAACCTAACATGCCAGCTAACCCATTTCACCGTTCACTGGAGTCAAATCGAGAGTCCCACTTGCTTCGGTGACCACTGGCTGGAGGCCTGTTTGGCTGCCTCTAACCACAGTATTACAATATAAGAATTAAATACAGAGCTCGGCTCACACCAGTCCTTGTTTTGGATATAATCACAGTCACAAGACGAAATTGGCAATGGTGTGGGTGGTTCTATTTTGCAGGGGCCATCACGACGTTACAACCAGCTCTTGTACATCTGGAATAGCTAATGTGCATTCCTCAGGAAGCGTTAACTTCAGCTGAAACACAGGAGAAGTGGTGCAGTATTTCACGCTAACTCTGTCAATGAGAAAGGTTGCATGTTGCATTAGAGTGGAGATCTGAGACAGCTTTGTCACGGCTAAAATTTCCATCAGCATTTTCGTCGCTGCTCCTTCGGGGCCAAGTATCGCCAAGACTCGCACCGTGACTTTGCGGAGGGGCACACAGCGAGAGGACAGTCATTACAGCGACGGGCAACCATCGTCCTGCAGGTGTTTCGTGTCCACTTTTACCAGCTCAGGTCATTTCTCAAGTCGCTTCACCATTTTATAGATGCAAACACACAACGGCCATTGACCTTGCCGTTAATATCCTCAGCACTTCCCCCTCTCTTCATGAAACTTTGTCTTACCAGCCTAGTCACTTGGGCTGCTCCAAGCAGCTGGAAAAGACATTTTTTAAAGGGTGGTGCGTGCGTGGTAGTGAGCTTACTGAGGGGCTGGCCCACAGGGCTCGGCACTTCCCATTGCCTTTCATGGCCGCGTTATCCACGCCAAGGCAGTACATCTGAGCAGCAGCCGAGAGGAAGGAGGAAAAGGCTGTGACAGAGCAGCTCCTACACATGCCCTTTCCTCTCACTCCTCTCTGAATGCAGATTGTGATAAAGAAATTCCATTTCTCAGGCAAGACCACTTAATCCTTTATGAAAGTTCTTTATCTTTTATGAAACCGTAAGGGCACATGAAAAACATCCCCTGCCACAATGCTCTACCCCGTGCATTCCCACCGGAGGCAGGTATAAAACAAGTACCAAGAGCAGCCAGGAGGTCACAAAAGACCAAGGGTCAAGGTTAAGGTCACTGTTTCCTTTTCATAAGGGTCTGTGTATGTAGTGCTCCATCTGCATCCCCGCACAGGCTGCCAGTGTTGCAGCACTCACTGATATCGAAGTCAGAAGGGTACTGCACAGAGATACCCCTTCCTATCCGTGCAACTTCTGTTAGGGCCATCAAAATAGCCTAAAGGAGATAGGTACACAGGGTGCATCTTGCAGAGTAACCCCCAAGGGTGGTCTCCAAGCCTGGGCAGTCCCCTATCTGCGTGGCGTAGCTATCAGAAAACCCCTGACGCCACTTCTGCCCTACTGATGCTGGTGTGCCCCGAGAGAAACATCAGGTGCACATATACTTGTGGCAGCCCCCCAGCACACACTTACTGGCAGTACAGTGTGGTCACAGGCCCCCAGCCATCCCGTCTGCCTTCGCGCTGACCGCCTGTGACGAGGAAGATGACCAGGACCCGTCCTCACAGGATCCTGCTTGCTGCAAGGTCAGGCAGGTCTGTAGGCATCTGGCTCCCACTGGCTACAGACTGGTCACGACAGGCAATCTGCATGCCAGCTGCGAAATCCCCGAGGTGGCTTTGAATTCAGGAACTATGCTGTGAATGCGGCTTCCACATCCACCAAAGAAGAGTGTTACCAGGCAGAGACTGCTTTCTGAAAGCATGGAGGATCCTAACTTCTGCCAGATTGAGTTTAAAAAAAAAACAACACCTGGGCATAGCTCCCTGTGGCTGTTCTGAAACCCCACTTTCACAGTTACCCATTGGCCATCTTCACACCTTTGTGTTTGCTTTTGCAAACGTTCATGTGTTGGAGTTTTGCTCTCATAAATGCCAAAGCAGCAATTACGATAATGTATGTACTCATGGTTACCTCACCATAAACCAGAAATGATGCCACCCAACTAAAGGCAAACAAAAGTCCTAAACGTTCCTAAATGTTCCACAACCAGAAAAATGGGAATTACTCGCTCGGCTGTAAAAATCCAGAGACAGGAACCATTTCCTTCCTCTGGTAAGGATATCTGAAAGCGTTTCCATGGAGCGAGCTGTATGTCATGCACACAGAGATAACACTTCTGCCTGATGCTTGGGGAGAATATGTACATAGCTATGGGGTTATGCACGCTGCTGAAGATACACAAGCAGAGACGCTTGCCAACTCCAAAAGTCTCGGAATAAGAGAAAACAAACAAATGCTATAACAAACAAATGCCTCTCTTCTCTTCAGATTCCTTTTCAGGAAATGAACCACCCTACAACTAAAACACCACAGTTACCTTAACAACCAAAACTGTCTTCTGGAGGACAGAGAAAGCAAGGAACCAGAACAAACTGGAATCGGGTTGGATCCAGCTTCTCTACCTATAACTAGTATGTCAAGGTGTCTTTTAGGTCATTAAACTTCCTCAGGAACGAACATGCCTTATCAAACATAATTAAGATTTTAGCAGGTCAATTACAAAGATCTCTTCAGTAAAAAAGGGCTCTTTCAAATGGAAGGGAGAGGTTTGAGGAGGCGTTTCAGTCCTCCTCTTCCTCTTAGTACATGGGAGCTCAGAAATGCCATCGGCCATAGCACAGTGAGCCATCCTTAAAGGCTCCGGAGAATGAATTTCCTCCTTAATTCTGCTGAGCATCCAGTGATGGTATTTACATAGCTTTGATAAGGCAGCACATAAAACCTGACACTGTAATTTGGAACATAAAAAACCACAAAATATTAAAAAGGGAGTGCTCTGCGAAGACGTAATGCCTGTCACGCAAATCTCAACATGGGATCAAGCCTTCGGGGCTTATTCTGAACTCAACATGCAAAACTTTCCATTGGCTTTGGCTGCCCAAAGCCTTCACGTAAAGAATGGGATCCACCTCTGCCGCTTCTTGGAAAGTTAATCAGGAGGCCACATCTCAGATGGTACGGCTCGTTTTCTCCCATTGCCTGTATTTGAGACGATTACATCTTCTTGCTCTGTCACATGTCTCTGTTCCCGACAGCTTCTCAGACCTACTTCTTTTTTGTACTCATCTGGGCTTCTGGGAACTGCACCGCTCCTAACTAGTCTGCAATATACTGCTGCGAGCCCTTTATTAGAGGCACACATGGCCCCTGTTATGATGAAAAATGCTTCTTTTTAAATGCACACGTAGACTGCTCTATCATCACTCGGTGATAGAGCCCACAAATCTTCAGCTTTGCCCTTCTACAGATTATGAAATAGAAGAGAGGGGAAAAAAAAAAAAATACAGTCTCCGCTAGTCAGGAAGGGAGTAACAGTGGGAACCGGATTCAAGAAAAATATACCCACAGACAGAACCTTACAAAACAACAACACACAGGCATCTATCTGGGCTTTCTTTTGGGGTTTTTTTTTGTGGGTTTTTTTTTTTAAACTACTTCTGTAGTTGTTGTTTCAAGGATGTATTTTAAACGATCATGGCTGTGGTTCAATTCTTAGGTCTTGAAATGAGTAAAAATTCTCTTTTGGATGAGAAGCATTTGCACAGAACACAACTCGGACAAACGGCCACTGTCTCAGTCTGAAAAGGCAATAAATGCCTCACTGGGGGAGGGATTTCTGATACCCTGTGTGCCACAATTATTCAGCTTTACAGGTCAGTTACCCCTACACATGCTTCAGGGTTCAAAATCACTCCTCTCTTCCCGACACCTCATTTACTAACACTGCTTTTATGCTCCTGCTTCCGAACTGCCCCGTTCTCAGCCAACAACCCCTTCAAATTGGCCCCCTGCTCCTTCGGCCTTCCCCTGGGGAACCACCGAGCCCAGGGGCAACAATTTTAGTTCTTGATTTGCAGTTTGGAGGTGCTACCAAGCCATTCTTGCACTTCACAGGCACTTTTGGGGAGGGAACAAGATGGACAGCAGTTTTTCTTGCCACCTACCATTAGGCAGTCAGATAACTAGAGTTGTCCCCGCTGATGGCGCATAGTGGAAGCCCATGGCCAGCAACTCTGCATCCTATTTACCAGCTTCCACGGCTTGTGACAACAGACTGGTGCTGATCAGAGCTGGGACCTGCCTGCTTCAGAGGCTCAAGTGCACCTTGTGGCACCTTTACTTGCAAGTAGCATACAGTTATTTCAAGGGCAACTGAGGCACGCTTATTTTTATAATTCAATAGCCCTTGCTCTGGTGTCACGTCAGTATTTTCTTCTGACTCTGTGCCCATGCTGCATTGACTCTGGATGTACAAGAGCTCTTACTGATGGACCCAACCCTAATAGGTTGCCTGTAATGAGAGGGAGCTTCCAAGCACACGTGGAAAAGCGTGTGAGCTTGTTAGCCAGTGCATGTGGCAGAGCATACTGCCAAGTCACAGCAACACACAGGCAGAAGCATGACAAAAAGCTCTCCTGTCTCACTTGTCTCCTTCGCTTTGATGCTCAGCTCCACACCCAACTTATTCCTGATGGATGTTCTGCCTCTGACGGCAGTAGGAGCATGATTGGAACACTTGCGTTGACCTGGGCTCTGCCTTATGAAAGGTAAAGAACCTGGATTCTGAAGTCACCTGTTCCTCAACAACAGAGATTAAAACCCAACAGGTTTAAGCTTCACACGGCACCTTCCTCCACTGCATTATGAAGGACTGGCCAAGAGAGGTGTAAGGTGGGGGCCGCAGCAGCCTTTCCTCATCACAGTCCTTGTCCCACAAGCTTAGCCCAGTGGCACAGGCGAGCAATTCCCCTACGGCGGTTCCTTTGCCCTTTCCCACCAGGAAGGCTACTCACGTGGCCGTGTTGATCCAGCTCGTTGTTGGTGAGTTTGACTTTTTCGAAGGACACCATCTGCTTCAGCAGCTGCTCTCCAGTGAATGGGGAGTCAGGGTGCACGTACAACCTAAAAAAAACACAGGGAAAAGGCCTGTTCATTAAAAAAAAAAATCTCACCTCTTGGCCTGTGCGTGAGCACCACTTCCATATGAAATTAAAAAGCCTGTAATATCTTGCTTTGGGGATACGCAGTGGTTTCACAGAAGTGGATTTCCCGAGAGCTTAGGGTAATACAGAGCTGCTACTCAAACAAGACACACACAATCTCCCCCAAATTAATGAACACCTGAAATACGACCATTAATGAAAGACAGTAAAGCAAATTACTGGAGTTAATTCACTGGAACTTAATGAAGATTCCCATGTCCAAGTTCTGGATTGCTCTCTAGCTGTACCTATTACTTTATCTCGTTATCTAGAATGGAGACATTAACTAACATTTGCTGTTGTGTCTTTTCCCAAATGAAAAATTGATCATGTCTTTCCCCACAGCTGTACTAACAAGCACTTAAAATAACAACGACTACAGCTCAGAGAGACAAAACATGGTGTCATTAGAGAGATAATGGGGGAATGTAGATAAAAATGCATTTTTCTTTATATGTAACATTAAGCCGTGATAATGATTTTAACCTGCACTTGATCACACGTTAGCTGTGGTGACGTCTGTTTATAAGAGGTTGAAGGCTGCAGTCCAGCACAGTGGTCTGACATGAAAAAATTAATTGCAGCTCTGTAATTAATAATCCGCCACTTGGGAAATTAGTCAGAAGAAAAGGAAGCACAGAAGACATGTAGATACAATGATATATACCTTATGACTAGACTAATTACAAGTGCCAGGCTAATTAAACAATGATTTTTATAGGAATAACGTATTGCTGATAATTATTTAACTCAAACGTTCTTTTGTGACAGTGAAGGAAGAGCTGAACTAGACCTTCAGCTAGTGCAAACCGGCCCTGTCCTGCTTCAATCGGTGTTGGTTATCCCTCACTGAGGGCCTGGCTCTCATTTTGGGTGATGCCTTTGGCCACACGGATGGATTTCTTCCATTAGGCGGGTGGAGCCGTGCTGAGATGCTGGGTTAGAAAGATGAACATTTGTTGTCGCTATGATTTTGGTTAGGCAAGAGGAGAATGGAAAAACCACTAAACGATGGGGCGTAACTCTCTGATAGACTACGCTGATTCCTAATCAAGGAATGCCCATACTAAAGACTCCAGGGAGCGTAGCTCTTTTGCTGAAAGAGGAAGGAGATTTGATCCTGCGCTCTCTGTTTTTGCCAGCAGAATCCCCAAGATGCCGTGAAACTGAAGTTTTACCAGCACAGCTCACTTCAGATGTGGCGGATGTTTTCCTTACATTGATCTGAAGCACAGCTTGGCTGGTATAGCTGCGTTCACAGGAGGGATCCTGTCACAATAAAATATACCTAGCATACAAGCGTCATCACTGCCATCGACTCTGCTGATTGCACTGCAAGGCTAGTGAAAAATTATGGTTTATCTGAAAAATCAAGGTCTAGAATCCTGTTACATCAGAAGAATTTCACCTTTTGTGAAAATTAACTCTGCCTTCCTTTAAAACCTTTGCAAGTCTCAATCTTTAGAGCCCCAAATCACAGAAGGCAAAACAAAAAAAATCCTAAAAGTGTCCTCCAGTTTTTCAGCCAGTCTTGTGATATTTTTTTTTATTTATTTTTGGAGCCTGACTCCTAATTTTGAATGTCTGGGTAGCTAACAATGTCTACTGCAATCACAGAGTGTCAGGCTCAGCAAGGTTTGGCTAATTAGGACCAAAAAGCCAAACTATTTCAAATATGCACTGGGGAATGAGGAAAGATTTTCGTGTGCCTAAAAGCCGAGCGCAATTGTTTTACACCATAGGCGGCTGATGCCTGGCGCTGCTTTCAGATGACAAAGTGCCTGGATGTTAGCAGAGCACTAACGGGAGAGTCAGTGAATATCAGTTACGTAAATGTATTAATAGACCTTGTTATTCTTTACTGGTTTGCTACGCGCCGTCGATCCCACTGCAACGCATGATTCCAGCTGGGGAACTACACCTATCCACACACTTCTGCTACAGCCTGAGCTTGTATGCCCTGGCGAAGAGGGCTGAAAAACGAGACGTGTCACCCTCTGAAGCAGAAGTTGTTGACGAGAGGGCGAGCGCGCACGAGCAAACGGGTTGGAGAAATAAACATGTGCATTCCAGCGCGGCGCACGAGGCTCCCCAAGAAGTTCGCGTGGGCTCTGCTGCCTAAGGCCGGCCAGATGCGAGGGGCTGCTCTCTCCAATTCACAAAGGCTTGAAGAGCCATATTAGGATGTGAATTTGCTCTACGGTATATAATGTTTCATGATGTATGCAAGGTTTGGGTACTGCTTCCTTCTTGCATATTTTGGAATGTGACACTGCTCTCCCTCTGTTAACAGTCGGTCTAGTCCTACAAGCCCTGCGCGTGCTGCTTTTAATTGCCTTAATGTCTCAAATATTTAATTTGCAAAATATAATACTTTAGAAAGGTTTCCTACCTAGAGTTCTCTGTAAGTTTGTAAACACTATAACTTGAACAAATGATTGTAGCCAAATACAGTAAGAAGAAAAAAGAAAATAAAAAGACAGACTTTTGAGTACAAGAAAGGAGGTGAAAAAGGAGGAAGAGTGAATAAAGGTACATGCTGAAACTTATTAAAGTGATGTTTCGCACAGTCTTAGCAATTTGGAAGTACAAACACAAAATATCACATAGGAATTCTATCCCCAGATAGCACTTTAGAAGATTTACAAAAGACTCTCTGAAAAGTATTTTTATTTAAGTGTTCATTGCAACACAGACTTGTCTTAAACACTGCCAGCAGGAAGACAGGGATAAAACTGTTTTTTGTAGAAAGTTCCCTGAAGTGCTAATCTTTCAAACAGAATCACAGAATACTTACTAATTGTGAAAGAAAAAAAAGCTGTCTTAGTGTTGAAAGTTATCTGTATGATGGAAAGAGCAAAACACTTAACGGGTTTGATCCTGCTGAGTCTTACACCCATGCGTAACGTGACTCCTGAATGATTCCCCTGATGCCGTTGTGCCCGTGCAGATGCAGGCAGGGGTGTGCGTGGGGAGATAGCGCCTCGGCACCGGCACCCGGGTGCTAAGCACACGTACGCCCCGCGATGACACTCCTTAAGTGAGGAGAGCTAAAACCCTGTGTCTGGAGGACAAGAAATCATGCCTTCATTAAGGGCTCCTGTTACTGGAGCAGGACCAAACCTGTTTCAGGATGGGAGGAGTACTGCTTTTAGTCTGTTGGGGCAAGACTGCAGCCTCCCACCTCAGAAGATGCATTAACACTCCTAAAAAAGCACTACTAACGCAAACATCGGCACGCTGAACATCTTGACATCCTTTTTCCTCACCAAACAGGAGCATAAGAAGGAGAAAGTCCGTAAATATAAGTGTAAGTACCATTCGTACAAAGAAAATGTCATCTGTGCCTGGGCTACGACTGATGGTCTTTTGGCTAAGCATCCTGAAAAGGAAACAGGAGAGGTACGTGTCTGCACATGGGGCAAAACGTCCCGAAAACATCCTGCAAATGAAACAGCCCAGGTACATGTTTGCACGCAGGGGCACTGACTCGATGAGGGCCTTAAAGAGCTACCACAGTATGACAATAAGAGAAATACTGAACTCCAAGAAGGCTTGACCCCAGCTCTCAAACAGTCAGTGGGGCAGTTGCTAAATGTTTCAAGGATCAATCTCTTGTCTTATGCTCTTCTGAGTATTTCTTCACTCAACTTGTCTATGCCAGGCAGTGTGAATTGGACATCTATTTAAAGGTATCCCAAAAGGCACTTAAACAGAAAAATAAGAAGGGAAGAACCCTGCCTTAAAACTATTTCTGTCCTTCCTTTATTTCTTCTCTTGATGCTGACTCTTCTGAGCAGGACCCATGTTTTTTCTTCGGGTTTTGATCAGTACCCATTATAATACGCCAAATGAAGCCCTCAGACGTTAACCACATTGCAAAAAGGAGCTTTTGGCCATGAAAACAAAGCCAACATAACTCCTAGGTTGCTGTCTTTAATCACAGCTTCTCTGCATGCGCTTTTTGTTTGTTTACTTCCCTGAGCCGCCTTCCAGAGATCAGCAGTCAGCAAGATTTCAGTCCAACTATTTATATGAGGAAAGCCTGCAGGATTTGGTCCCTATACTCACACACACACAAAAAATGTGCTTCCATTTCTTCCATTTCACTTCTAACTTCTGTCTCTGTAATAAGCAAGTTCTTAACCCTGGGCTAAGCCACCTGGAGCGGATCTGTGTGCCTGCACAGAGCCCTCCGTGAAAAGCTTCTTTGAAGCCAGAAAGGCATCCACTTTATTTCCATATCCCCGGCTCTGACTCAGCAAAGCCGTTCGACATGTGCTTCAGCCTTACTGGACCTGGGGGCTGAAGTACGGACTCAAGTGCTGGGCTGAGTAGGATGAAGTGTGGGTCTCCGCTGAAGTGCCCTCCTGCCATACAGCCCAGCGCTTCTGCCTCTGTTCCCGATGCTGAGAGGAGTCAGCCATTAATGTAATTAACAGAATGATTTTAGAAATCAGTTTTCTACAGCATTTTGTTTCTGTGTAGGAAAGAGGGGGAATTTACTTGGGTTTTTTTCCCCCCTAATGTCTCTTAACTTCTTGTTTCTTAACAAAAGAAACAAAATCTCTGCGCTGTAGGACTGATCCATACTTTGCCTGCTGTCTAAGAGACAACTAAAAGCAAGAATAAAATTAGCGGTTAGCAAATGCTGGATATGTTATCAAGAAATAATATCATTTCTAGTATAAGCAGCACTGTAGTGTAGTGTTTCTATTTGGCCGGTGGTGCCTGGATTGCTTTAAATTCCGAGGCCAAATACTTGGGTTTTTTTTTGGGGGGGCAAACCCGATAAAAAAAAAATTGATTTATCAAAACTTTCTTAACTGAACCGAGGCAAACTTCATTTAAAAAAAATTACATGTATAGATTAAAAAAAAGAGCCTTTAGACAAATCCTGCATGCCTTAGAACATTCAGTACAAATTAAACCTCAAGCAGAGATCTGAGGCCCGATTCTGCATCACAGAAATGAATCAAGGGTTTTGCAATCAACTTTGTGGAGCACAGACTCCAGGTCTCAGAGCACCGTTTGCAAACAGCGTGAAAAGATTAACAGCAAGTATTTCCTGAAGGAAAATGACATTGAAAGTAAAGAAAAGAGGAGAAAGACCAGCAGTAAAATCTACAAACCTTGCAGGGAGTGGAGGGTCAGCTTTTCCAGCCACCAACCAGGAAGACCTGTGGTAGGCATATCTATATCTTTTATTGTCCACAGGAACAATATCCATTAACACGATGTACTTGGCTTCGGGATCCACCCCTGAGAAGGAAACCCTGATCGTAGGAAACATTCTCCTGAAATAAAGGCAAATCGGAAGATAAATACGCTGATGGAGAACAGAAGGAAGAGTCCCTCTGATAAGCTGCTAAAATGAATAATTGTATTTAAACTACGTGAAAAAAAGTAAAGTGTCTATTGATTCTGCTTCAGCATGAAAGAAGTGAAATCCCTCTGCATCTCCAATATGCCCAAAAAGTGGAGCCTGAAACCAGAACAATTTTTTGGAAGCAAAAAGAAAAAAGGGCAAATGTGAAAAAGTAAAGGAGACATGTACTTTTGCCTGCTAGTTACAAGCACACAACAATTTCAGAAAACGGTTGTACTCCAAGTACATAAGTTCTGAGAAACACGGATTTTTTTAATGGGATCCATGCTAGTGTTAGGGAAATATTGCAGGAATTATTTCCGTTAGTATTCTCACGCATTTCAGACGCGTGTTGTTTTAAGCCTGCTTGCGATATTTCTGAGAGGAGTTTTCGAGACTAAACTTTCCTTTCCTCACTGAAATTTTGACAAAACGCAACTTTGGAATCTAAGGTTTTGCTGCAGACCAGAAATAAAGTTCAATTGCTTCAAACAGTTTAGAGATTTGAACTTTGTTTTGCACCCCTTACACATACTTTTTTTTTTTTTTTTTTTTTTTATTTTAAACACATGCTGTTGGAGCTTGCTAGTTAGGAAAGCAAAAAAAGAAATAAAAATCATCAGAGACCTACATTAATAACCAGTAACTCTGGGGATAACGAAACCCGGCAAGACATTCGGCTCCTGCAGACCCGAACCCCGAAGCCTCCCCAAAGCCTCCCCGAAGAAACGGCTTGAGACGGCGAGGAACCCTCGGGTTCTTCTGCTCGTTGTTTGCAACCGAGAGCAAAGCAAGCCGAGCCCTG